TATCGTTTCCGATTATTTTACAGATAAAATCAATTTCAATAAAAAAATCGATGATTTACATAAAATAAAAAAATATACGGTATGTTTCGTAATATTTTAGATTTTGGATAGTAATTTAAATATTTTATAACGAAAACTATAATGTATTTACTTAATAATAATTTTACACTACCTAGTTTGAAATTAATAAAATTGGAATTGCTATTCATCATATCCAAAATAAAAGTTAACTAGTTTGATCTCAAAAAGAACAGCAGATAAAACAAAAAAATTGGGGATGGGAGGGTAAGGCGAGGAAACGGTTAACCGCAGACACTAGCTAGTTTCAACAGAACCACCTACGAACCAAACCCAACCTATTGGTCTACATTTTGGAGACGAGTCTCTTATGTAATCATCGACGTTTTTTAATTATTTTTCGGGGGAAACGCCGGCCAAAACCCCCAATATTAATTCTCATCGTTAAACATGAGAGGGTTCAGGGTTTAGTAATCAATAAGCAGACTCATCTCCTAGGTTCCCACACCCCTTAAAGTTTTTAACCAAAGTCTTCTCTATTTAAACAACTCAACTTCAATCTCTATCTTCCGATGTGGGACAAAGTAGCATTTTATTGTAACTATATTCGTCACGGGTGACGTCACAATTCTTTCTTATAAATGTCAAAGAAGAAGAAGCTAACGAAAGCAAAAAGAGTGATAATAATGGCGGAGAGATCAGAATCAGAGGAAGTGAAGCTTTTGGGAATGTGGGCGAGTCCTTTTAGTCGTAGGATTGAGATTGCTCTTACGCTTAAAGGTGTTTCTTACGAATTCTCAGAGGAAGATATCACTAACAAGAGCTCTTTGTTGCTTCAATTGAATCCGGTTTATAAGATGATTCCGGTTCTTGTTCATAATGGTAAACCGATTTCTGAATCACTTGTGATTCTTGAGTATATTGATGAGACTTGGAGAGACAATCCGATTCTGCCTCAAGATCCGTATGAGAAAGCTATGGCTCGATTCTGGGCTAAATTTGTTGATGAACAGGTATGATTTTCAATTTCAGTAAACCGGTTTTGAATTTTTAAACCGGGTTTTTAAAACCGGTTATTGGGGAGTTTCAGATTTATGTGACGGCGATGAAAGTGGTGGGGAAGATCGGAGAAGAGAGAGATGCGGTGGTTGAAGCGACGAGAGATTTGTTGATGTTTTTGGAGAAAGAGCTTGTTGGGAAAGATTTTTTTGGAGGGAGAAGTTTGGGGTTTGTAGATATTGTGGCCACGTTGGTGGCGTTTTGGCTGATGAGGACGGAGGAGATCGTCGGAGTTAAGGTTGTTCCGGTGGAGAAGTTCCCGGAGATACATAGATGGGTTAAGAATTTGTTGGGAAATGATGTTATCAAGAAATGTATTCCTCCTGAAGATGAGCATCTCCAGTACATCAGAGCTCGGTATGGAGAAGCTCAATATCAAATCTGCTTGATAAGGATTATACGAGTTCTAATAATCCAAGTATGTCTCTTGTGATCTTTGTTCCAGTTGCTAAGTGATCATTAAGCTG